TAGCGATGGCCTCCAACCTTGTAGCGTCCTTGCTACTAGTAGTAATGCCCTTGTTACTAGTAGCGATGCCCTTGTTACTATCGCAGGACAAGAAAGACAGCGGCGGGATGGACCTTTGGTCCTCCGTGGGAGATGCATCCAGCAACTCAGCATATGGAGGTCCCAAAGCTCCGCAGGCAGGGAAGATAGGGGAAGATAGGTGAAGATGGGGTGGGGCAAGAGTTGGTCTTTGTGTTGAAAGAGCTTCCTGCCGGTGAGCCGGCGCATTGAGGTGTGAGGCTTCACCGAGGTTTTAGAGGGAAAGAGCAAGCGCTCGAGATGCCCACAAGATCACCTGGCTGAAAGGGGTCGGACCTCAGAATGTCCACCGCGCGATGTGAAACCCTAAGAATTGGGACAGACCTTCCATGCGAAGGGTGGTTTCTTACCCGACCTCTTAGAGGTCAAGGGTCCGGACCCAGAACCTTTCCATCTACAGTGCTTTCAGAGGTTCGATGCCAAGGAACTGGGTAGTTTTCATTATATGGACCCCCCTCTGTCTAAGACATCTGGATCATCCTGGGTTGCCATGGGGTGCCCTCTTGTTTTACTGTGAAACCACTGTCATATGTCGTTCATCTCTCCAGCGCCTGAAAGTCGATCCTTCGGAACGCGTCGTAGGAGCCGGGGTCAGTGGCACGGCGAGACGGCAGACGGCACTCGGTCACCGGAGTCGTTGGTGCCTGGTGAGGACAAAAGAGAGAAGATCGTGGAGAAAGGTCCCATGAAAATCGATGCTGCACCTGTGCCCGGAGTCATGGATGCCATTAACCAGACGTTGAAGAAGCAAAAGGAGGCCGGGGGTGCCGGGAAGGTACCTGGTGACATTTGGTGACGGTCACTGGTCAGTGTATCGATGTGTTGTCGACCAGGGCCTACAGTCGTGGTTTTGGAATATTTAGACACCTTGATGGCTGGATGTGAATCCTATCGACCATATATATATATAGTTAATTATAGTTATATATATATACAGTTGTATATATAGTTATACATATATACCCGGAATCTGAAGGACCTCTATTTTGGACCACCAACCACCCAAAATGTGTGTTTTTTTTCGTTTCAAAACAGAGGTCCAATGGGTTCCAGGTCATCATCTCTTCCTCCCGCGGAGCGTCTCGTCCGCCCCGACCCCTTGGAACCTGGAGGCGAAGAAGGAGGAACACAGGCGCCGGGACTCCGCGTGGACCCACCGGAAGAAGCCACAGGGCTTGGACGTTTTTTTCTGCAGCAGGCGGACTGCAGCAGATGTGTTTTCACAGGTAAATGGTGAAAGTAGAGGGTTGTTATCACCTTTTGTTTGCTAAGCAGGTGGACATGTTTCATGGTGTTTACATGTGTTCATTCTGTTCTATTTTGAGGTAAACCAGGGTCCCAGAATTTTGCACAGCCACAGGTTGGAAGCAGAGAAGAAGGCCAAAGCCATGAAAGCCTTGAGAAGGGTGGCGTGCTAGCAGTTCACAGCAAACACGATCTTGTTGGGAATTCCAATGTGGGTGGTTTTTAGAATCATGCATGGGAGCCCCTACCCTCAAAATCACGTCCACTTTTGGACCAGTATCCGTATCAGTAGATTATACAAAAGATGATTTCCCATGATCAACATCCACAGACGTGAATAGGAGATGGATGGAAGTTTTGTGAGATGTTTCTTGGGAGTGTTTTGCAACGATTGGTTCCAAGGTTCTGCGAGTTTCTCGTCTCTTCCCAGTGTGGCCCTGATGACCTGAGGAAGAGGAAATCAAAGATGAAGAAGACGGCACATACCAGATCCTAGTGCCTCCGGCATTGTTCATGGTGGAGACCAACAGGGGATGGTTGGACCCACTTTCAATCAGACCTAGGACTTTTTAGAGGATGGTTGGGAATGGTGGGATGACCATATATATGTATTTAATGTCAAGAATGTGTCATTGCAGTGGATGTTCGGGAGGGCCAGTTCACTCTAGTTCCCACTTGTGCACTGTCGGGATAGGGGTTGGTTTTCGCGCACTGTCAAAAGATTCCAGGAGCAACACCATGGATATGAATTCTGGCCGATGTTCACTGATCGAACTGGGGCTCATGGCTCGGTTTGGGATCCGAATTCTGTCGGATGGGTCATGAAAGCGTCATGGCTCTCGAGCCAGAATGAGAGCCGAAGTGATCCCCTTCCTCCTCGTTCTCCCCTCCCCTACCGGTGGTCCGCAGAACTGGCAGCGAACACTCGCAGCTCGCGGACCGGTTGGACCTCCTTCGATGCTGTGGGGGAGGAAACTGACTGCTTTTCGGTGACTGAAAAAGGGTTCGACTCGTGGTCGTCGAATACGTTCCGAGCTGCGGTGTTTCACTCCTCGACACGACGAGGTCCGCTTTGCGCCACAACTTAGGGAGTCAGGAACGGTCCGCCTGTAAACCGCGGAACACACGGTGCGCCAGGACGACAAGGGCCTTGGTAACTTTATGGTCCGAACGCCCAGAACGGCCGCGAAAAGCAGATCGGACGACTCGACAGCGTGGACTGACCACGTGGAGGGTGGGCGGAACTGAGCCACGGACTGGTGAGCCATCGATCTCCACGGACGCCCCGTCCGGCACCAGGGCCCTGGTGAACATGTCGTGTGGAGTATCACGACATGTCAAGACTGAGCCACATCATGCCACATCCCTGAAATGGGCATAAAACTTAGTAGATTTATGCCCATCTCGTTCCTAAATGATCCCGTCTCTGAACTAGGCGTGCTTGACATGTCTTTTTCACACGAGAATAATAGTACACCAAGTTTACTTTCGCATCCTGTCAGGATTGTCGACAGACTCCGACAGACCCCCAGCTTTTTTCTGGAAAAAAGAAGGACCAACTCTCTCCAATCAACCGCCATGAAGATCTCGACAGGCCACCGTTCATGCACCGTCCGTCCGTCCATCCGTCCATGTTCGGAATCTCCCCCGGTCTGGCTGTGGCTCACCACGGAGGACAAGATGGAGGTCATGGACATCATGAAAAACACCGTGAAGACTGCGGCCTCCCAAGCCGGATCACGGTGCCAGCAGGGTCCTCAGACTGACAGACTGACAGACCGAGTCGGGCGAGACAAATCCACCCAAACGCGACGGTACGACGTACCGAGAGGTTCGGCTTGAGGAGTTAGGTTTCGGAGGGAGCGGAGTTCAGTGGTGAAACAGTGGTGGGATGTTCTGGGAACAGCGATGGATTTGGAGATAATGGAGAACAGATGGAGAGGATGTTTGTTGGAGTATGTCAATGGATGTCGCAGAACAGCTTTTTGTTTCATGCGAAAGGAGTTTGCAGTATAATATGCCCATGTTTGATTCAAAAGAGGATGGATGAAGACATCTCGCTTGGGTCAATTAGGATTCTTCTGACAATCTGCAAGCCGCAGGGAGTCCCTGACAGTCCCTGTGACCACCTTAATGCTCTTTCTTCTTTGTCCACGAAAAGGATGCGACTGGGTGCTCCAGGGAGGACTTTGCGTGGTGGGGACATGGGGAGAGACGTCCTGCTTTGTAGAGCACTCCTAACATCTCTTGGTTGTCACGGAAGGTCTTCCAAGAGAGGTTAAGTGACCTGAACTAGGACCCTGCTGCTGTACCCAACTGGGATAGTCGAACGATCGGGTTCTTCAACCTTTGGTGGTCCAACCCAAAATTTCGCGAAAAACTGCCAGCCTCTTGGCTTCTCAGGGTCTCTTCGCGCACTGTCATCGGCGACAAGCTCTTCACGAACAAGGAACTCAAATTCGACTCCTTGGGCGGCATGAAGGTGCAAGCATGTTCCGAGGAGCTGATGGTTTGGCAAGGAGGAGACAGGAGACAAATCCGCTGGCTCCACTCACGGCTGACTTCACACACACCCTGTAGAAAAGATCAATAAAAGAGAAACGATATGGTAAATTGCTGCTATATATATATATATTGTATATATATATATCAATATATAATATATATTTATATATATATACAATATATATATATATAATATATATATAATACATATTATGGAAGAAATTAAGCAATGAAAAAAGAAGACAAAAGCATGGCTCATCCATGTCCGCCGTGCCGAGATCCAATTCACCGCAACCCCGTTTAGCGCTCGCGCCGGTTGAGCGCTCGCGCAACGGCAGGCGGTTAAAGGTTTCATCTACGTGAGAGGTCCGAAAGAGGACCGGGACAGAAGAGGCAGACTGGATGGGCGGGCTGAGAGGCTTCGATGTATACATCACATATCATCACATGAAAAACCTTGCATCTTCCAACTGTGCAACGTGTCTGCCTTCCCATCCATAGAAGACAGATAGCCAAGTTCAGCAGACATGTTGCATTGCTGCTGCATAGTTGGAAGGTCCAGGTATCACCCATTGGGGCACTCACTTGACTCATGGTGTCGGCGGTGTCGGACCATCGGTGTCTGCGCATCGGCCGATGGGAAGCTGGCCACACGAACGGGATCCATATGGATCCGTGGGTGGACCATTTCGCACTGCTCGCGCATGACTCGCCCCATTGGCCGTGCGGAGGTGAGACCGAGAATGAACAGAGTGGAACTACCTGGAAGGTCAACCTGCAAGGGTTTGGGGTTCATATGATTCATATATATATATATGACATTGTGTGACTGTCCTCAGACTATAAGGGCAGAATGTCCGGATGTTCTTTCTGAGACTTGGATGGTAACCTGAGGAGCCCGGGGTGAAGCTCACACTGCAGCGCCCTGCGACGGTGTACGTCGCTCTGAGCAAGTCTCCCAACGAGGCGGGTCGGTCTCCCGCGCGGTCCGGACTGGGCATTCGTCCGTGCTGGACTTGAGACATGCTGAGACATGAGAATAGACGTCAACATGGCTCTTCTCGGAATAGTTGGAAGGCTATGAAAGGCTTCTAGTTGGACTTGATTCTGTACTGGAGGCTGAAGGTAGAGGTGATGTTTTTTGGGTCCTTCTCCTTCCAGTTGCACATCGCGGCAGGATGACCCGTTCCTGCAAAGATGGCAGGCCAGCATTTTGTTGGGGCTCCCATCGTCAGTTCACTCATCCGTTCTTGACTTACTCACCAAACCCCGTTTGCAACGACAATCCAAAGGTATCCAAAGCGTTACTATGTTCGGGGGATTACAGATGATTGCAGTATAGAGTATATAGGAAAAATGGATGAGTTATGATGAGTTCATCCATCGCGAAGAACCACATTTTTTGAGATGACCATTCATCAAAATCCATCAATCAATTGCAAACACTAAGCATGAATTGACCCACATGTTGTTTACAGTGTCTCAACATCTTCTTCGCATCGACGGGTGCCAAGTGCCAAAGAGTCCAGAGATCCCAACACAAGCTTGGGAAGTTTCTAAACACCCAAAACATCTGAAAACGCCAACCCCAGTTCATGATCATCTCCAATGGACCTTTTCTTGATCGTTCTTGCTTGCTTTTTCGCCCTTCCCAACGAGAAGCCACTCCGTCTGCGTGTCGCAGACGGTCTCAGAGACGGACTGCGCCTTGCCACTTGGGAGACCAGTTGCGTTGCTGAACGCCGCGGAGCGCCGCGACGTCCTTGGCGTTGTCTTCGCCGGAAGACAATCTGAAGTCTGGACACGTCAAACACGGGGTGAGCGTCGGTGAAGAGAACGGAGGGATTTGGTGAGCCTTTTTGGGGTGGCAAATGGGAGGAAGTGAAGCATCACCGTTCTTGTTCGATTCGGGTTGGCAGGCACAGAACCCTACAGCCTGATTCCATCAAAGCATGCGAAAGATGGATCGCTCGCATCGTTCGCAACCCCCAACTAAAGGCCTTAGATATGCTTGGACCCGACCTTTTCTGGTCAGCGAAAGGATCCGACCTTTCCACGGTGCCCCGAAGCAATAGCCACTGTAGAAGGGCCTGGGGTCTTGGGAGTCGGTCGTTGATCGGTCTTGGTTCGCCCGACATGAGTGGATGCTGTTTGGGGAGCGATGGCCGAAGATATGGACGAACAAGAGGAGAGGAAGGATGAAGCAAGATGCCATAATTATATATCCTTTTTTTGAGGCTTGGACGGGGCCATGTAGCCTCAATTATCCTTTTATAAATCATCTTGAATCATCTTGAACCATCTTGAATCCAGCTCAAGGGCTCACTCTAAATGGAGATTTGGGGTCTTCGCATGGCTGGGGTGCAGCTCTCACCCCAAATTGTGATTCTTGATGTTCTTGCTTGGAAATCCGATGAATCCCAATAGTAGGGACTTTTCAGTAGAATCATCCTTTATATTCTAGATTCATCTATTCTACTGAATAGAATAAATCATCATAATATATCATAATTCTATTCTAGATCATTTGTGGTGGCCATGTGTCTTTCACATCTCCTTGGATGTTCTCAGACCGGCTGGGCCGGTCTTCCCGGACCCAACGCACGCCGACCCCGACCCCGACCCACCACGGACCGACTGGCGCGCCGGCCCCGGCGAGGCCGGAGTTCTCCGACGACGTGGCGCCCGTGGCGGAGATCAAGAGAAAGGAGCGCCACGTCGGTCGCGGGGTTCGCGGTTTGGTCCGCGGGGTCGCGGAGTTCGGAGTTCGCCGGTGTGGAGAAAGTGAGTGAGTGAGTGAGTGAAAAGCATGGGAGGCATAGCAGGCTGATACATCAGTCAATTGAAAGGATCTAAAAGGAAATTACTTTTTGGTGTTCGACATCGAGCCAAGATGAAGGGCAAGAGAAAGAAAGTGATGTTTATGAGTCCACTTATTTCGCGACAAACACCAGACCCGTTGAAGCGGGCTCCCTAGCGACGGCACTATTGCACTTAGCCTGCGACGACCAAGAAGAACACATGCACATTCCGTTGAGCTGCGTGCATGCCTTCTAGAGAAGTCACAACCAGTAACCACACAGATTCTACTGTACCAATCTGTACCATGGTTCCAGGAAATTAGAAATTCTATATATTCTTTTCTACCCAGTCAGAACACCTCCAACCCCCCCATGTGTTCACTCCAACCTTTGGATTCGGAATCAAAAAACACCGAAAATCGAAGACCCAGAATCCCAGAAGTCACTCACTCTCTGGAGACGTCCATCCATGCGCCATCCATCCACGCCAGGTCTTCAAAGACCCCGACAATCGGCACATCGAAGTGCCGCGCCCGCCTGCCGGGCTGGAGACCTGCTTAGTCTTCGTTGGGGTCACCCGGACTTCTGCGCTTCGCCTTCTCGACGAAGTGCAGAAAGCGGTTTGGGTCCGAAGCAAGAGGTTGGTGCGTGTGCCGCTCCAAGACGTTTGATTAGCGGAAGAGAAGGTTACAACCTATGAGTAATATGTTGTAGAATATATTAGATTATAAATGATTAATTGTATATGGTACCCCCCAAGATGAGTGGTTGCTTATGATTATATATATATATAGTAATGTACACCAGCTTCTTCAAAGGAACCTTTCTTGAGTCCCTGAGTTGCCTAAGTGACCCTTTTTCATGTTCTTCTTTGACCTCAAACTGGGATATCAAGTTCGGTCAATTGAAAGAAGCAGGCACATATACTGTACATATACTTTGGGTTTGCCCCATTACTGTACCTGTAGTTGGTAAACAATTACTTTAGAGAAAAGACTTTATGAACCATCATCATCCACTGCTACTGGTACAGTGCTAGGATAGATCCAACATGTACACTATAAATTATATAGTGCTGTCATTCCATTTCAGCGGGTTTCTTGTTGTGAACCGGACCGCTCAACTGTTGTTTCTTGTGGTTCTCAGTCCCAACATCGACATGGCGGATTTGGAAAAATGTAGACAGTGGAGGATGGTTCAGTCCCAAACAAAAGAGAATAATAAATAGGTGCTAGAATCCGAATGGGGGGAGTTTGATTTATGAATCAAGATTTCTACATTGGGTGCCTTCTTGGGGTGGTGCTTTTCAGCTTTTGAGAATGAACGACCTGCTTTGAAAAGCTCTTTTGAGCTTGCTAGAAACATCAGGTCGTGCCCGATTTCCATGCGCCGGTCTTCGGCGAGGTGCTGTTGACGGCCGGAAGCGATGCCTTCTTGGATGATGTTTTGTTCAAGACCCCCACGTTGTTCAACTGGTTTGCTTCCAAGAAAGCCTTTCCGAAGCTTGTGTTCAACATTCAGGGCGCGTTGTGAGAACAACATCGAACTGATGAAAGTCAGTGACTTCGACTGTGATGTGAACGGCTCGGAAAGAAAATTGAGATTAAAAGAATCCAGCATATGTTTAGAACCTTCATTGGGTCGAATTCACTCGGAAGTCGGCTTTAAGTGCCATTCATCACATTCAGATTGTTCAACCCTTTGATTCAGGAGCAACTCAGTGAAGAGGAGCTCCGAGAAAAGCTGGGGACTCAGATGGATTCTTGACAAACAAAGTCACTACCGGCACCCGAACTGGCGCCCGAGTCCCATTTGTTTCTTGATCCAGTCGATGGACGATTCTCGGAGGGCACCGCTGCCCCACAAGCAAGCTATAGAGTGGAAAATGATCTTCTCCTGCCCATTCCTGCCCTGGGGTGGAACCAGGCATGGAAAATCGGCCCATTATCGATGGTCGTCCCCACACCGACCTGCCGACCGGTTCGCTCGGTTCGATCCTGATGTTTGGAGCTCAGGGAGCGCGCAGAAGCTGCCCAGAGGAGGGCGTCGCGGTGTTGAAGCAGTGTTGCCCAGGGAGGGCGTTTTGTTGAAGTGAAAAACAAGACTCAGGGCGTTTTGCTGCTTGCGGGTTTACCAAAATACCACAAGACTTCATGAATCGTCCGCTCATTGTGTGGTACCTCTATGATGAGTTCATCCTATTCTCGTTTGATCGGGCCATGTTTGTCGAATCGTTCTGGACAAGCGAGCAGATTCCACCTGAAACTCCAACTGAAGCGATCAGCGAGCAACAACCGCAGCAACCTTGTGGTGTTTGGTTGGTCCTTGTGTGTGTGTGTGTGTTCTTTCTCATGCTCGGTGCGTTGTTTGTGTGCATCAGTTCCTTTCCACATGAATCCGATCAACAGAGTATGTGGCCCTTTCCAGGAGAGCAGGGAAGTCAAGCAGTAGCACTGCGAAGGCCTGGAGATGCGTGTCTTGACGCAGGCTCTGCCACGCTGGAAAACAAATGGAACATAGTTTCTCTCCAAATGGACAATCTAACAGTTTCTATGTCAGTTTTGGTGCGACAAACAACCAGCTTCCTTTGTTGGTTTTTCCCCAAGAACTCGTCATCAATGTTCCCACATCCACACTGAAGCCAATGGCATTTCTACCGCACACCGGATGGAGCTATCATGAACAATCCATGTGCGGAATATATATACTTGCCTAAAAGATCCTAAAGGCATCTTTAAATCGCCCTGATGTTGGTCAAGCTTTTCATACATGGATTGTTTGGGTAAATAGATATTTACACATTTACAAGCTGAATGTTCCCTTCGTTGGGCTTGTCGATTACAGCATCCTTGGATCCGCCTGTGCAAGCGACAGGAGGGGCCTACGAAACAAGAAGAGTTGGAGGCGCCAGCGCTGGACCGACTGGACCCAGTCGGTCAAAGAGTGGCACACGAATTGATTGAGGTGACTGATCATCATCCACTGTTGGAAGTGGTTTTGGATCTATCCAATGATCATTTGACAAGTACAAGTAGAACAGTGCTTGCGTTGCTTGAGGGTTGCGGCCCGGTTGGTACGCTTGCTTAGGTTCCTACTATGTGTTTGCCGGGCCGTGCGTTGCAAGGGGGCTGTGCGTTGTCACTGCTTTGCGTCACATGTGTGAGCCCACGACGCCCAAAACACATGGATTCGCACAGATCACTGAAGTGAACATCATCTGAGCATGGCAGCATGGCTCAAAGATAGGATGCCATCCCTTGGGTCGTATTTGTGAGCTGGAGTGATGTGTGATTCACATGATCAATGATCTTCACTACTTCCAGTTGTCACACAATTCTGCGCTGTGTTCTACTTCTCAGGCCATTCTGAAGAAGGCTGAAGCCGGAGAGAAGCTGTCTAACAAGGCTGAGATTTGCTGAGATGATGTGTTCAAACACCTGTCTTGCTTCACCCTGTGTTTTCATATGTGTTCACCCACTCTACAGTATGCTTCCCTTACTGGTACACGGCGTTAATTGCACATGGTCTTGTTCCCCCTGTACAAGAGGTTTTCCACCCACTTTGGGTGTTTGCTATCGAGGAGAAGCGCCTCCTCGAGAAGCACAATGAGAAGTGCTTGGCTTAAACAAGACAGAGCAAGCTCTCAATCAGCAGATTTACACGGAGATCAGCAGGTTCCAAACTCCACAAGGGCCTTAATACTCTGGAATTTGTGTGTGTGTGCCAAGATGATCGAAGCGTGTAGTCGTTTAATCGCAGTCCTATTCCGTATACGACTTGTCCCATTGGTTTGCTTCACAGCAACCAAAACGTCTCAGCCCGTACATCTGATTCAGACCGTTGATTCTTTTTTTGCACCTCTTCCCCTTGAACCCTTCAATCACTTCGGAAGTTGCCATCTAGACTGAAAACTTCGCTTGCGCCTAGACTTAGTCCGCCGCCGTTCCTTTGCCGTTCTGAAGTCGTCCAAGGAACGCTGAGTACAAGAACGAAGATGACGAGCCCGTTGGTGGCCTCCACGCTTTTACCATCACCTTGGAGGCCAACACCCACTTCGGATGGCCGACGACCGGGGTGGTCTGGCCAGACGTGAAGTAGCAAGTACTTCAGCCGGCCTGGTGGAGAAGCTCCAAACCAACTGGCAGGTGTTTATATGTTTAGTGGACCAAATTGTTCACTCAATTGCGTTAAACATGTTTAAAAAATAAAAAATGGTTTAAACTCGATGTGTTCCAGCTCTGAGTCCAATCGGAGCTGATGTGTTTTGCCGCTTGGCTTAAACAGCCTCTCTCAAAGGGGCGACCAACCTTGATCACCCAGGAAGACTATCCAGGAGCCCTTTCGTCAGTTGGATGGTTTTGGTCCTTAAACAGCCCTTTTTCACCATGTTTCACCACCAAATACTTTGTTTGGGTGCCTTGAAGGTTCTTGGAATTGCGATCCAAAGACCTTTGTCTGGCAGACGTGACGTGCATGCGTTGCATGACTGGTTTGGGACTTATTCTTGGAGCGGAAATTGCTCCTGGATTACATGCTGCAGGTGTTCGTTCCGTGTGCCCACTCGGTGTTCGGATACGGGTCTTTCGGGACCCGGGTGAATTTCCAGAAACGACTCCCGTGGTTTCTCCACGACCCGTCGCCGACACGACCGGGGATGACCGTGGGTCGTTGGAGTCTCCAGGGCGGCAAGCTGGAGCCCCCGACGGCGGGCGACGCCTTCGTGTGCAACAACTTCACGCTCTCAGCGCCGAAGCAAACGCTCTTCGACAATGCCCCTCGCCCGTTTTTTCCGGGTATGATCGGCCCGGTTGGGGGCCGTTGGGAGGTGTGGGTTTGGGTTAGTGTTGGGGTTGGTGTTTGGGTTCGGTACATACGACGTGTTTGGGTTCCGTGTGCATCGGTGATACGACGCGTGTTTTTCTTTGTTCCGACAGGTGGGAACTGGACTGCTGTTCATCCCTTCTCACTGAGACATATAGTCGTCAAAAACCACGCAGGGATACGGGTGTTGAATCAGGTGCGCTCAAAAGCCCTTTGTGCCCCAGACTGACCGCAAGAATCCGCAAGACCTCTTTGGGCAAGTTTGGATGGATGGGTATGGGACGTAGGTATGCAGAGGAATCACTTGTACTCGCACCACTTGCTACCCAGAAACTTAGAATCAACACAGCCGTTTTGGTCAGTGCGGTCGGGGGGATACCTGGTTCTTAAAGCATCTTAAAGCCACAGTCACATAGCTAGCATAGGTATACGGTATACGTATTTATACGTTAGCTTTCTTCTTGCATTTGTTTGCTCCCAAAAGGGATGGGCTAGATATCTCATCACGGGCCTGCACATACAGTACCTTTTGAGGGGCCAGAGACTTACGCCTGAGCTGCTCATGTTTCGATGGGGTGCTCATGGAAGTTGAACATGGAAAGTCGACTGAATCGAGAAGTGCAAAGAAACCAGAGGGTCACAGATCACTCATGCCTCATGGATCACTCAGATACTTCACAGATCATTCAAATACCTCGTGATAGCTCCAAATCAACCATAGCAGAACATGCAAAACCGTGACATATACTCCATGATACTCCCCATGTCCTCTCTGACGGATGCTCCATGTTTCACGACGGAGGACTCCTGTTTGCCGCCCATCTGCCGCCCATACACTCCGAGTCGATTCGACTGTAGGCGAGCGTCACCATTGTTCAGGGCCACAGATATGGCATTCTGGGGCCCAATGGGCAGGCGCAGCTCGGGGCTGCAAGCGGGCGCGAGCGGGCGACGTGTGTCGCGCACCGAGGAGCGGAGCGGAGCGGGGGCAGGGCAGCGAAGGGACGAGCCGGGGCCGGCGTCAGGGCGCCGCAGAGCCGTAGACCGACCGACCGACAAGGGGAGGAGCGATTCGATGGCTCCTCCGAGTTGGCAGGATGGCTTAGGTGAATCAACATCATTCATCTGCCACCGGAGGGGTCGGCTAAGTCGGTGTGTCGGTGCGTCGACTGGTCGGTGCCGATGTGAAGAGGTGGCCGGAAACGTCACAATCGTTAGAGTTCAAGTGTCCCTGGTGGGATGGCTCGGTCCATGTAGATGGGATTCTTTTTTCGACATGGACATGTTCGAGTATCAGGTTCTCACTTGGACCCGTCATCGTTGACCCCTTGATTCACTTCACCGACTGGACATGGGAGCACGCTGTCGCTCGCTCGCCGACTGCGTCGGGACGGAGAAGTTCAGCGGCAGGGGAAGACCACCTTGCTTCGGCACATCGCTGCGCGAGAGATGTAGCTCGGTGGAGAGCGGGTAAAACTCGGTGGTTCACATGTAAGTCGGCCAAACAAAAGATTTTAACAAAAAGAAAAACCATCGACGTGAAGTTGAATGACTCTTTGGTGTTTTTTTTGTAATTAAGAGGGTTGCATGATGTCTTTCATTCTGTTGAATGTTCATTGTTTCATGATGTTTTCATGTATTATAAGATAATTAGTTATGTTATGTTGCACTAGATGGTTGCATTATATTGCATGAATGTTCCTCCGAAACCTTTAACTTGGGTATCAGCCAAAAGCACCCATGCGTTGGTGTGTCCCAATATTCAGGAGCCCCAATCGAACCTTGAGTTTAAGAAGGAACCTACTGCTCGGCTACGGTTGTTTGTCTCCAGCGCCCTTGTTGCTCCTAGGTCCTAGGTTCGCCTGGATTCTTCTTTAGTGGTTTACGAAACCCTCGTGCCCCAAAACACAACCACGTGCTTCTTGCAAAGGGAGTGTGCAGGATTCAAAGTCGGGGCAATGTTTCCACAAAGCATCAGAAAGAGTGGTTTACTCAGTTTACTCCACCCCGACCGGTCATCTCGAAGAACCTCATGCTTCTTCATTAGGATTCCAGTCGTCTTTTCAAGACAATCGGTGATTCGATGCCTGAACCATGCCCCCCCCCCCGCGTCACAGGTCCAAGTCTTGCCTCAGCGGCTCGCCTGACAGGGGCGACCGCCTCAGCGGCTCGTGAGGCCCGTGCCTTTGAACTGGGACGTGATCCTCGTGGAGCAGGCGAGGCACCTGGCGCCCAGCGGGCGAGCCTGGGTGGTCCGGGTGGACTGCGACCGTGAAGAAAAGGAGGAGGTCGGCACCTACGGACAACGATGTTCTGTTCCAATCCGGAATCAACGACATGTGTCAGAAACCACAGATGAATCCATCTGGCCAGGGTTGGTGGTCCCGTCATCATCGTGATCATGGTGTGTTCACGATGTGGTTTTGGAGACTTGAAGAAGAAATCCGAAACGAAGAAAGCGCCTCACACGATCTCATGCAGCTGCTGAATGGAAAGCCCCAAGACATTGATTCAAGGGATGGTTTGGGACCAACACCCATCAAATTTTGCGGGAGTATAACTTCGTGTATTCGTCCGCTGTTCCAATGTAGAACTCCAATCCATGCCTCGGGGCGGTGGGGATCGGTTAAAACCACGTTCACCTGACCAGTCGACCATGTAGCCCACGAACGACCGGTCCAGGTAGGGAAAAAGGGGTCGGTTCTTTTTTGTGGTGCCATCACCCACAGCCATATGGGTACCAAGCTGACCCCTCTATGATTCCCAAAAGGATATCGTTTCTGTTAGGGGCTGCTGCGCACAGGTGGGTGTTGGGATGTGCAGGGAGGGTTCGAAGAGGTGCGGAAGGTCAGGTGAAAATGAACCCTCCCATTTGGATGGTAAAACCATGTAGAACCTCTTTGTATCGGTTCTTTGTTCTATCAAGAGTCTACATCCAGGACCATCCAATGGGTCTTGGCTGGAGTATACCCTACACATCCCTACCTTTGTCTTGTCCTGGCTGGGCACCCATTGGATGGTCCAGGATTAATGCATTGATCTGGATCGCTTTGCTTCGCGTCTTCACTATCTTCACCTCCACCCGTCCCTCCGACGCAGCGGTCCAGCGGCTTGCGAGGAAGCGAAGGCCACGGAGCGATCGGCGGTGGAAGAGGTCTTGGCGGCGGATCTGAAGCTGCTCGATGGAGACACAGGTCGACGGTCTGTGGAAGTTGAAACAAAAGCGCATATGCAACATGGGATGAACACTACAAAGATCTACAAAGTGATCGGAAGAGAAGTCTCGAGAAAGTCAGATCAAGCAAGTAACTGACTCGATTTGCAACCAGATCCAGGTGCGTTTTCCAAATCCAGAAGAAATGGGTGGGGCGTTCAATTCAATTCTGCACTCTTGCATTTGGGGGTTATTTGGGTGGAATTGTTGGCCTTCTCCCCCAAAAACAACCCCCTTAGCATTCTCGCGTCTCTCTCGGCTTAACTTGAACCGCATTGCTTTTGGATAAGATAGGCTTTGGTTCGCTGTTGGAAGGAGCCTTTTAAGTTGGGATCCCCTCATTTTGCCCGTTCACGTGTCTTGCCGACCCCGCCGGTCACCAAGAAGCAAGAAGCCTGCTTTCCGCTGAGGGCAGCGGAGTTGATCAAGAGGGAAGCAGAGCTTCTACAGAAGCTGGAGGACTGCGTTTCACGCAGATTCTCGACAGGGAGGACGGCAAAATCATAGCCACAGACCCCAAGTACCTGGGCAGTGTCTCGGACGCAGCTTTTGTTGTGAGCCAGCGTCTGGATTCCCCCACTTTCCGGGAAGAGAGTGCTTGCAGGACAAGTGCGTTAGAGAGCTGTTGAGTTTGGGCTTTCCACTCCCTGTGCGTTTGGAGATGTTTAAGTCATGCGCCAGGCCGCTTCTTGCGGATGAAAACCGAGCTGCTCCCACTCGGGTCATCCCCCTTTTGCAGAAAAACCCGAGGGGATGGAGACGTGGTCGGAATATGTCGGAATAGTTTCAGAGGTACCCTGGCGGCCAGGGGAGGAGACCACCTGACGACCGGTCCAACCGGACGATCGGTTTAAAAGCCAAATGCTTTAGAGTCTGGAACCGTTTGAATGGCGGTCCGACCGGGTCTTCCATGATTGAAGCAAAACGCTTGATGTTTGGTCAGGATGTGCCTAAAAGGCAGGTCTGCCTGGTCCAGACCTTGGGGCTTGAGGGGAATAGAAATGAATCGAATGAGAATAAAGTATTAACAAAAATATAAATTTAGATTTCTTGAGCGCAGCGCAGGCACCTTTTATGTATATAATAGTTAATTATACAAATGCGACAGAGCACAAAGCTAACTCTTTGCGCTGACCTTGTCAGGCCTCATCTAAATCATGCTAAATCCCTTTTGATACCCAGTTCTGTTCGCGTGTTTTTGTAGCAGCTCCACTCGCGTGCTTCCAGCACCTTAGAATCTCCAACCCGTGAGACCGCGACCCCATGAGACCTGCGAGGTCCCTCCGCCGGGCCTCCCCAACCCCTGATCCCATGGTCTTTTTCAGCTTCAAGGTGGTTCTCGGGCGCCGTTTCGAATGGATGCACACACCAGCACACGCACACGCACACGCACTGCTGTGTCTCTTTCTGGCAGGATATGGAAGAAGCCATGGAAAAGGGTCAGGAGATCAGCGCAGAGGAGGTGGAGAGGACAGGAACCACCGATGGCGAGACAAACCCCTTGGTGAATCAGGGGCTTCAGCATGGTTTTTTTGCGTCCAATCAGAGGATGACACTCCAAGTCATCCGACGGTTGCATTGTCCTCGTCGGTTGAAATATAATGCGGAGCAAACATCAATTCAATTGGTGCAGTTTTCTCGAAATAGTTGGTCCAAGGTTGCTGCTGCTGTCTCGCAAAGACTCCCCAGCACGTACCAGCACAACTCTTTAGAGGAGACCTCTTGGAGGGTGCTGGTAAGAGGTACATGAAAAAATGTACGTCCACATCTTACGGCATCCAGATGACCAGTCTAGCCCGTTGCAAGGTGTTTTTACTTTGTTTCTTGTGAAGACCGGAAAACGGGAGTGGAGATGCAGGAGTGGAATTTCAGCACACCTTCAGTTGTACGAACTTGTTCAACACGAAATAGGAACAAGAAGGTGAGAAGGTGTCTTCAAACAGTTAAACAGCTTCAAACCAACGGTTTGTCCCCCTTCGGCAGTCTTATCCAGCGCCGAAAAACAAAGGTATGTATTATGATGCATTATGTATGGTAGTTCTGCGGAGAACTCTCAGCACGGGAGGATGACCTGACCCTCTCAAACGGTTGGATGGAAAAAAAATCACATGGACGGTGAGGTATGCGCTGGACCATTTGGCAATCGACCCAATGGTAGTTTCGCCTTTGGCTCTCAGTTTCCCCTGTTTGGGGGTTCAATCAGCCAACCCCGACATGATGACATGGGAAAACCTGCAGATCCAGTTTGATGAAGCACCACTCTGAGAGTGCTTGGGGCCAGTTCAGGAGGTTTGCCGATGTCCAAGCTCTGTGTGTGTGTGTCGTGTCTTTTTTCACGCCCCAGACGACTCTTCCATCCAGACGATGGCAGGACACGCCTTGATCTCGAGAATACTTCAGCGGAACTCGAGGTGCACGGAGATCCGGATTTCCGGCGGACAAACATAATCATAGCGATCTTCGATTTGACCAAGACCTTGCTGGGATGGAGTAGCAACAAGCTGTAGCTTCTTGCTACCTAGTAGCTTCTTGGCCTCCAACCTAAGAGCGATGGCCTCCAACCTAATTAGTGGTGTCTTGTTACTAGCGATGGAATCTTTGGAGTTTTTCCTCACCGGATCTCAGGGAAGCTCAGGTCTCAAGATCCCGGGGCTCCCGGCATTCTCTCCCTCGTTGGGGGGTTCGCAATGAGACGAACGAGAAGCGAGGACGGCGAGAACCAAGGGGGAACGAAAGACTCGTCTATTGGAACATTGAAATCACATGAAATCACGATAAGAAAAATCAAGTGTCAAAAAGGACACCTGCGGAATACAATGCGCAATGCATCGAACAACAATAGATGTTTGTGATGTTTGAAACGCTTGGAAAGGTCAGGCGGCAGTATTACTGGCCTCCGAAGAACTGAAGAAAGTGGGACCTCAAAATGTTCTATAGTGACTAATTGATAGTGGCACGGTTTCCAATACATTCTTAGAGGGGATCGACTTTTCTATTTATTTGGGGGATTTGGGGGGTCTATATATATAAAGAGTTCTCATGACTTCTCCAAAAGCGATTCACCAGCTTGGGACTCGCCCATAATTTTTGGGGGTTCAGATCCACAAGTCTCTTTGGATGAGACATCTACTTCAGGTTACCGCCTCCACACGTCCAAGGGATCCAAGAGATCCCAGTTACCATCCGCCGCGCTCAGCCTGCAAGGCGATCGGTGCAGATTCCGCGGAAGCTCGAGTGCGGGGGCTTAGACTCTTGAAACATCAACCAGCGAGGAGGTTGTTTTGTTGGCTATTGATTCATAAAGGCTCTCACTTGGAGATGGGAAAACATAGAAATAAAACATCCTGGTGTTGTCGATTGATGTTCATCTCAAGGATTTCTTTTAACCAAAGAGTTAGCATGAACGAGGAATCCATTAAAACAAGTTGTTCCTGAAATACTAATTCGGAGGAGCTGGACAAGTGAGTTTGGAGTGGGAGGATGATGGCCATTTCTTGATCAACAGAAAAAGGGTCTTCATTTGGTGCGGGATCGGGTCCAAGCCGATGGGCTTGTTTTCTGGACCACGGTGGCTTTAAGGTACCCGAAATTGATGTTGATGTACTTTCATGTATACACCACCTGTTTGGTTTTCGGAAAGTGGCTTTCCAAGGGGCCATGCCATCCACTTCCATGTGAGTTCCAGCGAGTGCTCAACGAATCTGCAACAACCACGACGGGTGATTCCACAGGAGAATCGCCCACGGTGTTGGCTGCATCGTGTTGATTCGCCGGAGCGTGCTATAGCGCTTGCAGGGAGGGTAATTATATGTATAAAAGGATATAATAAAAGGTATATAATCCTAGGTGATGGTTTCGGATATGTTTATGTTCAACCCTTACTTGGGGATGATTGGAAACACCCACTACTCTTATTTGTCCAGTGGGTTGAAAACACCAGTAATATCATGATTCGTTAGGGGGGACGAGATCGGGGCTTGAGAGGCCCAAGACCAACCTCTTGCATCTGCAAAAACCGCCACGCACGCCCGCGGCGCACGCGGACCGCGAGGTGAGGAAGATCCTTTGTGGCACGAAGCTTAAAGCGCAACGATGTACACCGTTGATCACGTTCACCTCCTCGGAAATAGAGGGGTGTTTGAAGGCGTATGATAAAAAGTGGTGTCATTGAGAAAACAAAAAATCCTGTAGTTTGTCGATGTGGCACGGCTCAGACCCGTGTCGTTTTGGCCGTTGTATTCCGTTCCACTTGCACCCTAGTTTGAGTGATAGACCTAGGGATGACAGAGGTTTCTTGAACCTGTTCATGTCCTCCCTGTTCCCCCCGGTGCGGGGGGGCCAACCCAGTTTCCAGGCGCTGGAATCGCGGCAGCACGGGCGTTCAAAGCGCCTCAGGTTTAGGCTTCACCAACGGCGCGCCAGATGAGGATCGCTTCTCCATGGACAGGTGGGGAGGGACAGACCTGTGGGCCACTGAAAGACCTGAAGTGCTCAAAGTCAACACCAGATGCTCACGTCTCACTAAATCCCTACCATCATGAACCCGCTGGGAAAAAATACAGAGTGAGACAGACAGACAGACAGAGGGAGGGAAGGAGAAAGAGAAAGAAAAAGAAAAAGAAAAAAGGGAAGAAGGAAATAATTGTCAGGAGATGCCTACTCAAGAGCTCCAAGCATCCCGCTTTGGGCATGCGTGCTCATGTGAGACATGTATAGGCTCAATTTTTTGATCAATCTCTTCACTGGTGGGTCTTCTTTTTTGCACATGTACTGAACTTGTGCTTTTTCTCTTCTCCAGGAGGGAAGAAGCGGCTTCCAAACCCCACATAAACCCGTGAAAGCCCTTCATAAACCCCTCCAATTTGGGTGGAGACCTGTTGAGTCGGATGCTGGTAGCCTAATGTAGAACCTTGGTTCATTGAAATTCATGAACCCCCCCATTTGGATTGTAAAGCCTCTGGGCCTCTTCATCTGGAAGATGGAAGGGCTGTGGGGCCATGGCACGACTGGTTGACCCGACCCCTTTATTTTTCCCTCTCCCTGCTAAAACCAGTCGTCCGCGACATGGTGGACGACCGTGGGGCGACCTGGGTTGAACGACCCTTCCCCTCATTCATCAAGATTCATACAAGTCGACCAGTTGTTGACCTCCTTCACCGCTTGGACAGGCCGGTCGTGCAGTTCTCGGGCGGCTGGCGAATGCGCATCAGCTTGGCGAAGGCGCGAGAGCTCGCGAGCGCGAGGGCGAGGGCGGGGGTGAAACCGAAAGAGTCAGAAAGGAAGAGCACAGATTGAACATGGCAGGAGTCATGTTACATCGTGTTGCTGAACCGTGGCAATGGGTGTTTTTGTTGCCGAACGCACCAAAAATATCCTTCCAAGCGCCAAACACATCCAAAAAGGAACGTACTGGTAGGAAGGACAGCTAGTCCAAGGGGTTCATAAACTTGGGTTAAGGTTTGACCGACCTCCACACTCCACAGACCTTTTTCCCCGAGAAAAAAAACACTGTTTTGTGAGCTGTAGGGCCTGCCACGGCATGGTTACATCTATGTACAGGGGTCAAGTCAACTGCAAATCTACGCGCAATGGACAGTGGCAAGAACACCAAAGCCTAGAAGCGAGTCTTCATTCGCCTCATTCGTTTCGCACTACTGTATCGGTGTGGGGAACCATACGGTACCTGGGCACCCTTTTTGCTGACAAACTCCCCGGTGGACTCTTCTGCGCAACTTGGGTCAACAAGGGTTGACCCAATCAGAGAATTTCCAAGACCTGTAGGTCACTGTAGGTGAAGCGGACATTTGTAAATGGCGGGCATCCACGGTTTGGATCAGTTCGGGACATCCAAAACGATTTTGGCGACATCTATGCCGGATTTGGCATGTACGAACAACTGAATTCCGAAGGGAGCATCGTTTGTAAGGAGTCGTGCCTTGATGAATTCAAATCTAAACATGCTGTGTTTGATTTGTGTTTACCCTGTTGGACAATTCCTTGACTTCAATTGGCTTGCAGGCTTGTATCGTGCGTTGCTTACACCCTCCGGTGTTGACATGAACATAATCACAAGAATGTGAGGCAAAGCATAGACTGGGTCTACCAGGGTCCTTTCCGGGACATTGGCGCTTTGTTCTGATGTCGTTTTGATCCACTCCTGGATGCAACTACGGCAGTACGGCAGTGTCAGGGTACCAAGAGTTCAACAAACACATGCTTCTGAGACACGTGTTGGCACTGAGCTTTGATCTCGCAGGCATGACTTGGACATGTGTTTTTTCTTTTTATTTTCCTTTGTTCTTGTGTTTAGCTGGGGGGAGCATTCTCCAGGGAAAGGAGGCATTATATAGGCCGCGCAGGCGTCTTGCAGATGCCAATAGGCTTGATGCAGGGCGGCGTTTGTCACGGCAGGCGCTATTCTTACAGCCAAAGTTGCTCATGCTGGATGAGCCAACCAACCACTTGGATTTGGATGCAGTGCTGCTCCCAGTGTCTCAAGGGGTGCCATGACCTGGGACCTCAAAGTGCGTCATGGTCCCCCAAGCCTTGCGAGCTTGCCAAGTTTGCAGCGCTCAATCAACCAAGCTGCATTCAGAATCCACAAGTTTATAGAATTGTTGCAAGGCAAGAACAAACCAATACAACAGTCATTTATTGTTTGCAATTGCCCGAACTAGCTGATGTTCTTTTTACCATTCTTGAAGCCTTTCATCAGGTCTTGTGGTTGGACAACTACCTCTCGGAGCAGTATCCACATGCCGTGGTGGTGGTGTCCCACGATGCCGACTTTCTGGACAATATTTGCACCCATGGCAGAAGATGGGTGTGTACAAGTGTCCCGGAATACCCCCAAAAAGTTTCTCTCCGCAAGGTTCGGGTCCAGAAACTGCAGCAAAGATGTCCCAAAACATCCACAAAGGTTCGTGTTTTTTCCTCGCCAACCCACTGGTGGAGTGAAGAAAAGGAAGGACCCAAGCACCAAAGCAGAGGATTGGGGCAGAAAAAAACACATGGAGAATGTCATTGGCCCTAGAAAATCCTCTATAATCCAATCTGCAAAATCTTTAAGGGATGCTGAAGATTTTGCAGGTTGGATTGGAGGATTTTTGGGGGCAATGGGCCTTTGGATTGAAAAGAGGATGCTGATGGATGTTTTGTGTAGCTCCCCGTCCACGGCAAGCCCAAGCTTCAGCTCTCCAGAGCAGACACTTCAGAGTTGCAGATGCAGCTTCACCATCCTTTGCCCACTGCACTCACTCAACCAGCTGCGGACGAAAAATTGCTGAGTGAGTTATGCATCGGGAAACCGAAAACACATGCCACATATACCTCATGCTCCCCTGCTTCAGGTACAGACATTCTGCACCTGGAGGAGGGGGTTGGCTGTTGGTCGGAATTCGGCAGACCTCCCGAGACCGAGAATCGTCGCATTCTCCCCAAATGTTTGGTACAAATTGGTCGGTAAAGATGAATTAATGTGGGGATGGATCAACGCCTGGAGCAGGATCAACACCTGGAGCCGGATGGATCAACACCTACAGCCCCAACAAAATGGGGCTTGCCCTCCCAAGTAGTCTATTCCATCGAAATTCCTTCGACCATTCGACTATATAGACGATGTCTGACGTCTCGTGCTCGCTCCTCACTTCTTCACGACGACGTAGTGAGGACAAGAAGCTGATTCACTATCGCGGCGACTACACTGCCTTCAAGAAGATGCACGAGCAGCAGAGAGCGACCATGGACAAAGAATACAAGAAGCAGCAGGAGCGTAGCTAGAACTTGGACAGACGCGAACACGCGAAGCTCCGTGATCTCTGAGACAACCAGAATCCCCTAGTTTCAGTGTGACAAGAATTTCATGTTCATCGCCTACGCCGTGGAGACAATATGCGTTCTCGCGCTCTTGCGATCTCGCACGATCGTGGTATGTCTTTGTTTTGGTATGTCTTTGTTTTGTGGAGTGTCAGAGTGCAAGTTCGTTGCTGAAGAAGACCATGGCAGGACTTGGAGATACGTAGCAACATGGCCACCAACTAGCAGAAAGTATCGATGTTCATCGATAGTCTAGTCCCTCTGGACACTTAAAGTCACAGTAGTCTCCGGTCCCCAAGGCGAATCACACGGATTGAGAACCAGGGAGGATCATGGATACAGGCCTGCCATTCATACATATCCATACTCCCAAGTCTCCCAAGCTTCCAGGATGAGCTGAAGGCTTTGAAGAAGAAGGGGATGACCAAGGCAGCCTGGTGGTCGTGGTCACGAGACCAGAACAGACTGAATCCACTGGCGATTTGGGGGACCTAAGATCCAAAAATGATGCTCTTAGCAAAATGATGCAAAATGTATTTTGCTTCTGAATTTGCTCGTTCTTTCTTCCTTTGTGGTTTCTTTTTCTAAGGGACATCTTCCCTGTTCTATTTGGACGATTTTTAGGCACTCCAAAGGACTCCCTGACTCGAAGGGATGGACTCCATGACCCGACGCACGAAAACGACGCGACCGGCCGTGGAGGAAGAAGCCGAAGCGAAGGTCAAGGAGAAGTTTAAGTTGAGCTCTCTGGACGAACAGCGCAAGGAGTGGTGGCTAGCTGTGTGTGTGATCTCGAGTGTGTGTGTGTGGTGTGGTACTGTTTTCAGGTGAGATTTGACAGGTCCTCTAACGCAGTAATTACCTTAAAGTGCTAACTCCATTTTTTGGGAACACCCGGAATGGTGCTAACTCCGAGCTCTCTCTGTTACGTGTGTGTCACGTGTGAAACCCATGACCTGTCACAGCAAAAAAACACGCTCGTGCCTCCGTCCTCTCTCTTCGTCGTCCTTCCTTCCTCTTCGTCCGGGGGCGCTTCCTCGCTCCCACAGTCCATCCACCCACCCACCGGCTCGTCCGGGTGACGCCCCGCCCGCGGCGGTTCGTACACCGTGACCTGCGTCTCGTGACCCGCGACGCCTCGTCGCGTCGCCCGCGTCCGTCGTGGTGTCGGCCTCGCCTCGCGTCGTGTCCCGGCGGCGGCGGAGGACTACATCGTGAAGTTCAAGTTCAAAGGTCACGGCATGGACCGAACCTTAGGTCTCAACGTCTCGGAGGTGGCCTTTAGCTACGACGGCAAGGAGAGCGTTGAGAAAGCGTGAACGGGAGAAAGAGGGGGGGAGCGTTGGGCCCGGCCGCTTGGTTGGGGCACTGGTTTCAAAGACATGTGGGACGTAGCTTGGAGCGTGAAGAGCTGTGAAGAGTCATGAAGGTCTTAGTACTGAGCCCAGAGTGGTTCGGTGAAAAAGAAGTCCAAGCCCATGTTGTTGGTTTGATCCATGGTTGGTACCAACATCGGGTCATTCAAAGTTCAAAACCTTTGAATCCTTTGTTCACCCGCAAAAGGACACCCCCCAAACAAGAACCAACTGATGATGCTCCTTTTTGGGCCACCCTTCGCGCCAAATCAATGGCCGAGTGAGGAGCCTTGGCTCTTGGAGGAGGTGGAAATCGGTGTGGACTGTGGCAGTCGCATCGCCATCGTGGGGCCCAACGGCGCAGGGAAGTCCACGATCCTCAATTTGATGATGCAACAGTTGGAGCCCTGCCTCGGCGAGGCGCTCCCGGCTCTCCCGGTGGTTCAAACGGAGGACGACGGAGCCGAGACTTGAGAGCCAACCTTGGGCCCCTAAGGGGTCGAAGCATTGGTGACCTGTGAGGGTCGGGTTTGATGCTGGTCAGTGCGGGTGGAAGAGGGGGGGCCGATCGTTCAGTGTTTACCCGACATGGCCAGGGGGATGTAAGCTCAGGTGTGACATTCTCCATACCTTTTGACATGGTATGGAGAGGGGCGTAACATCAAGGGTTAGAGAAATTGAGGTGCCAAGGGTCAGAGAAATCTTTAGAGAGGTTGGTGTTTTTTTCATCTTACTTGAAGCCTCCACTGGTCCGCCAAAACCTCATGGGGTGGTAGACCTATGCCTCCCGCATCGGGTCCATCGACTCAGCACTCGTTTCGGTCACGGAGTCCTTTGGACCTGGTGAGGTCTCAGTGTCCAAAGGAATTCGAGTGAAGCAGTATCACCAGCACTTCGAAGAGCTTTTGCCCTTGGACAAGACGGGTGTGGACTATTTGAAGGATGCCTTCAACCTGAAGACGCCCGAGAATGCACGCGCCGTGCTGGGTCAGTTCGGCTTGCCGGGTGGCTCACACTTCACGAAGATTGGGAACTTGTCGGGTGGTCAAAAGGCTCGCGTGGCTTTTGCAGCTTTGATGCTCATGGAGCCTCACATCATTATCCTTGATGAGACCTGGTAAAAGATGGTAATGTGGACTCTTGATTCATAAACCCCCCATGTGAAGAGGTGTTTCAATTCAACTGGAGGGGTTATTAATCAAGAGTCTACAATACATGATGGTACACTCTGACGAACAGATCACGTAGAAGTGGATGGCATAGTCCAGAAAGGAAGACTACTTTCCTTCACAAACAAGGTGTTCTCCACTTCCATGTTCGAGCTGGAGTGTACAAGGATGATGTGAATGGAAACCGATTTGGACCCATACACTATCATACACTCATGCACTCAAAAATGGGTGTGGCCGGCTTTGTCCACGACGGGTGCCCACGACGGGTTTGTCATACCGAGGATGATGTCATTTTTGGATTTGTGTGCTTCGTTCAACGTTCGGACGCTCCGAACTCGCGAAGACTTGGGGGGTTCTTTTGGCCACTTGGGAGCCCAAAGCGTCCACGCCTGGACCACTCAGGAACCCACAAATCACCTGGACATCGAATCGGTGGAGGCTTTGACCACGGCCATTTCCAATTTCAATGGTGGCTTGGTGCTGGTGAGCCACGATGCGCGGCTCATCACGGAGGTCGACTGTGAGCTTTGGGTCTGTGAAGATGGCGGCTGCTACCGCTTTGAGACTTGGCTTGAGAATTCATTGGGCCGTTTGGTGATTCGAAAGGGAGGGTTGAGACCATTCCAGACCCAAGTTCCTAGTGACAGCGGTGCCCAAATGAGATCCATAATTGAAGGGGTCGTTCATAGACTCACTTGGAGGGTCCCGCTGTTCATTATACACAGGTTCAATTTGGTTTGTGGATTCTTGTTCTTCAAAGAACAGTAAGTGCATCTTCGGGTTTCTCACCCACTGGTGAGGGGGCGACCGGCATCCTCATCCCCCGTTCAACGGGCCGTTCAACACCGTTCGTTCCGAGGAGAAGGACTTCGACGGCTACCGGGACAAGGTGCTCCGACAGCTGGAAGAACGGCAAGAGGAGGTCGAGCGCATGGAGCAGAAGCGCCGTGAGGAGCGAGCCAAGAAGCGTGCGATGCCTGGTGGCACGCGCGGACGCGCTCGCTGAAGCGGCGGAGGGGAGGGGTGCTTGGAGGGGCACGATGTTGGGAAGGGAGACTAAGGGATCTAAGGGCCACCAACCAGTTCCAGGGGTGGCTGTGGGTCAAAACCTGGCGCCACGAACTCTGGTGGGTTGACATCTCTGAAAAAGAGGACATCTGTTCATTTGATCCGCGGTGCCATAACCCACAGCCAAATATGTTCCTTGTTTGAAGTTCCAGACGCTTCTTTAACGAAGACGCGTGACTGCCCCGTCCCCCAGGGATGACATACAACAGATGGCTGCTGAGAGGGGTGGGCATTGGTGCCTGGATTGTTTGACGAAGGTTTTGGAGGAGTTGAGGTTGCTCAGACCATGAACAAGAGTAGAGAAAGACCCCAGTAGGGGAGTGTCGTTCTTCCATAGAAAGTACATGAAAGTACTCAAGATGGTGAGAAAGAGTTCTAGACAGCCTATCCTCTTCAGGGTCGCAAGCCTATCCTCTCATCACAGGATCGCGGAGGCCAGTTCCCACAAAAATCTCTTGGAACAAACATCAGGAGACGACATGCCAACCAGGGGTGCCAAGGGGCAGGTGTTGCCCATTTTGGTGTCTATGAAGGTCCCAACACCACCCAAATCTGCTGGCATACAGCCCCTACTTGTAGCGTCCTCTTGCTTTCTTCCTCGTAGCGATGCCAGTTTCGCCCCGTCAGCGTCCGATCGTTCCGAGTAGTAAGGCCAGGAGCCCCGTTCGTAGCTTCTTTCATATGTGATATACTTGCATGTGCCAGGCCGCTTGAGACCGGGGCCGGTCTCACTCCAACCACGTTTCTCGTCCGAGGAAGCACTTGTCGGACGAGCAGTTGGCGAAAGCGAAGCAGAGAAAGGAAGGTGAGCTGGCCGAAGCTGCGAAGTTGAACCTGCAGGCGGGTCCATTTGGCTGACGACATGTTTGAAGTCGATATATGCCGATGTGACGACACAGATTGAGAAGGGTCGAGAGCATGAGGGGGGAGGCTCCATTTCCAAGTTTATTGGTTTCGGTTTGGATCTGAGGGTCCTTGGCTTTCACCTCGCTTTCTGCTGCCGTGTTGGGTACTCCAACAAATCCGCATAAAAACAGCTTTCATGAAGGGTTGTAGTTGTTGGATCCCTATCATACTCATCCATATTCTATATATATATATATGCATGCATCCATACATACATACATACATCTAATTATATAAACCGATGTTTGAGCAAGTTCCCAGAGGCAGGATGCTCACCTATTGAAACTGCATGATTGATAAAAAGGGCCGGAGTCTTTGAGACGGCATATAACCATTTTGCAACTTGAAAATCCAGGAAGTCTGGGCTCAGACGGCCTCTCAGCTGGCAAGGCTAGACTCTGCGACTAACGGTCTGAGAAGGTTTGATATGGTGACATGGCACGATGGATTGACGATGTGGCAGTCGCGCATCGCTGGTGCATTTGGTCCTGTGGGTTTGGAGCTTTTGCAGCAGTATGTCCGGCAGCTTCGGTTGTTGTCAGGTCTTGGTGCCAACAGTGCTTTGGTAGCTCTTGCGTCCTATCAGGTTGAGCAGGAACAATCGAACCGATTACGTTCTTCACCTGAGGTTGTTGCTTTCCTGCAGTTCTTGGAGGGCCTGCCTGTTGTCGATCGTAGCACGGTCTTCGCGATGACCGGTGAGGAACTGTATCCGTATAGGTCGAGCGGGACTTCGCTTTTTGATCGTGCCCTGCTTCAAGAGGAGGTCTTGACAGGCTTACAAACTATGAGGGAAAGTCTCGACCCTACCTTGAGTGTTCTTGAAACGTTAACTGAAGGTCCTCCGGGTCGCGTTGTGCCTGTGCAGGTGCGTGAGCCAGACCTTGCGCTTCCTCTTGAGCCGGAAAGACCCCATAGAGGTCGAAGAAGGCGCCGAGCACAGGCGAAGTCTCCTGTCCAAGATGCCGGTGCACATGAAATGGTTGCTTTGACCCCGGTGTGGTGCTTGCCCTCGGTCTGTGCCAACGTGGTGACTTGGTTTCCTGACAGTGGCCTCCAAGAACCAGAAGCTGAAGCTCAGGTTCAACGGCCTCGTCAGAGGCGTCGGTTTGAAAGTGTTTATCCACTTTCTGCGACTGACTATGCGAGGGCGATGAATGAGATGGACCGCAAGATGGGCTATGGGACAACGGAAGATAGAGTACTGAATGCTGAGCGTAGTGGATTGGCTTCAACGTCTGCCCTGCACGGCGACTGGCCTTGCCCGAATCAGCAATGCGTGAACAGTCGGCGATTGGTCTTTGCTAAGAAGACATGCTGCCCTTTGTGCAAGTCTGAGCGCCCGGTTGAAGTTTTGGATCCTCGTCAGGAACGGTTGTCCAGGGAGACTGCTACTTCTTCTCCTCGGTTGTCGTGACTCACACGTTCGGTTGGAACGGGTGTCCAGGGAGACTGCTGCTGTTTCTCCTCGGTTGTCACATGCTTCACACAGTAGGTTGGAACCCAGGGAGCGTGCTACCATTTCTTCTCGGTTGTCTGATGACTCACAACATCGGTTGGAACGGTTGTCCAGGGGGCGTGCTGCTGTTTCTTCTCGGTTGTCTGATGACTCACATCGGTTGTCTTCAGGCGAGCAGCCTCGGCGGGACAGATTGGCTAAAAGGCCAGTTACTCCTCCGAAAGCCATGCCGGTGCCGCGGAACAAGCGAGTGGCAGCAGTTGCTGACGATGCGACCTTGCCTGGAATTACCCCGAAGTCGGGCCTCTTGGCTCCTCCACGTTCACTTGAAAGTGTGGCTGAACCAACGCATGGGCCTGAGCATGATGCCAGTGACCGACGTGTTTTGGTGCCTTCGGGACGGCTATATCACCAGCCTGAAGGAACAGTAGGGTGACCTTGGAAGCCGCGGCAGCTTCTGTTTCTCCTCCTTCGTCGGGTGTTTTGACCTCCTCGCGAATGCCTCATGGAGATGATGAAGGTGCTGGCGGGAGTCTCCTGGCTAGGGCAACTACGACCGTGGCTAGGACTACTGAGAGCCGGGGATCGGATCGTTTCACTTCGTCTCACAAGATTGCAGGCGGAGCGAGCCTGGAATACATGCTGAGGTGTGATTCAGTGAGGGCGGTTGATGACCCTTTTGGTTTCCCTTTTTCCGCCGGGACGATGGTCTTCCGGCTTTCCCTCTGGGTGTCCCTGGTCTTGGATGCTCGGATTTCGGTGGGTGTGAATGGTCACTTCAGGAGGTCTCCAAAGATTTGGTTACGCCCCGGCCGGTCTTGGAGCTGATGGGTTGTAACCAATCTATCCCCAACTGCCTTGCGGTCTCCCCGACGATTCCATTCAGTCTTCATGACTGGTGTCAGGAGGTCTCAGGTAATGGCAGAAGTGCGGTTGTGCCTAGGACTGGCGTTGGTGCAGGACTACACTCAATTGGTGATCAACAAGAAGCTCAAAGGCCGGGGTTTGATGACGTCGTATTGAGGGACTTCGAGGGCAACATGGTCTCGATTCCGGTTTTCGACATCCCATTTGTTGTTGGAGGGCCATTGGGTCCTTGTGTCGAAGGAGGTTGGATTGCAGAACTGTGGGTCTCTTATCAAGGAGAGCCGGAAAAGGTTTGTTTTGTTTTGGGTTTTGGGCCATGGAAAATCCCTGCACAAGCGAGACTTTCTGTCTCATCTTCATGGGGTGCTTTGAATGTTGTGTATGAGTATTGGTCTACCAAACTTCGTACAACTTCATGGGCGGTTGAGGTTTCTGAGCGGGTTCGTCAACATATGATCCGCCTTTTGACTGATATGCCCCATGACTTCGACAGCAAGACCTCAACTGGAGATTTTGTCCATGTTGATCTGATTGCGCACGGTCGTCGTTCACAGTATATGTGGGAAGTCTCGGTTGTTAAGAAAGAGCCACATGATGGGCAGGTCTGGTTGTGTCTCTCTGAAGAATGGCACGCTTGGTTTCCGACCGCTCTCTCCCGTGTTCGGGCCCTTTTTCTTCGTCTTGCATTGTCAGGGTGTGGAGTCCTTGTCCTCTCTTCGGTTCCTGGTCGTACGGTGTTGACTAGGGTGCAGGATGAATTTGGCTTCTCAAGAGCTTTGGACCTGTTTGCAGGTATCGGAGGTTGGCAGGATGGTGTAAAGTCTGCCTGGCCGGTTTCATTCGTTTCGGTTGAATGGGACAAAGGTACAGCTTTGGCTTTGGCTACTTCCGGTGGTGTCCCTCTGATTTTTCCTGACCAGTTGGACCCAATCGTGGCAGAGACAGATTTTGCCCTTTGTGCGGACGTTTTTGACGAAACATGGTATAAGGTTTCTCTGGTTGCTCCTTTTGATGTGGGTTTTTGGAGTTCCCCTTGTCCATCATGGAGTCGTGCCGGTTACGCGCAAGGACTGGAATCGGATGAAGGATTGAAAATGCTTCAGGCTTTTAGACTGCTTGCTTTGCTAGGCGTGTCGCACAATGGCTTGGCTATTGGAGAAAATGTCTATGGGCTGCGGAATCACCCACATTTTGCGGTTGTTGAAGGTTTTGCACAGTTAGTGGGTGGGCACACACTGCAAGTGCTTACTCATGACCTTGCTATGGTGGCGCCGATGAAAGGGCTTCGGGTGTTCCTTGTGCAAAGTCCTCGCAAGGTTGATGCGGTCTCCTTTCACGTTGATTTTAAGACGTTTCGGTCTCGTCTCGGTTTGGGTCTTAGTGATGGGAAGGGGCGTTTGGACACAGCTATTCCAGATGTTGCTCTTGACCGTCTCCAGGATCTACGTTTGTTGCCCCTTGAATGGGCAAAAGAACTTGCAGGTCGAGGCAAGGATGACATTGATGGCAACTCGGTGTTGCAAGCCAGGGTTGTTGAGGATTCTTTCCCTACCCTTTTGGCAGCTTATAGGTCGCAACACCTATTGCCGGTTGATCTGCTACTTGGTAAAGGCTTGCTCACCTTTTTGGTTCAGGACACGGAAGGGCAGGTGCGTTAGTTGGACCACTTTGAGGCCGCGAGGCTCTTTGGTTTTAGAGTTGACGTT